AGAGGAAGAAAGCAGGATGCTCATTTGATTTCCCTCCTCTGTTTCAGGCTGGTGGAAGACCTGGAAGTGCTGCTCAGGGAGTTAGTTGCATTGTTATTAAAATACCTAACAGTTACAGGGCACTGACCATGAGCCAGGCATAGTACTAAGGACCTAGCATGCCTTGTGGTTACCTAACTCTGCCAGGGTTTTAAAGGAGGCAAGTGAGACTTCAAAAAGTTGTCACTTGCCCAAGGCCAAGAACCAACATGCTAAGAATGCAGCCCAGGCAATCTGATGGCAATATTTGACCTTGCTATAATGATCCCTTCATTTTGTGTTTTTCAGGAGCGACTTCAGTGAAGGAAGAGGGTAAGAGACCCCTTCCTTCCTTCCCTCTTTCCTTCCTTCCTTCTTTCTGACCTTCCTTCCTCCCTCCCTTCCTTGATAGGGGTCTAGGACTAGAGGTGTTCTTTAAGCAGTAGAGCACCTGTTCTGTAAGCATGAAGCCCTGAGTTCAAACCCTACTCCACCAAAAAACAATTAAAAAAAAACCTCTGTAGTCTAAGATGAGGGTCTAGTTATATAGCTCAGGTTGGTCTTGAACTCCTGGGATGAACTGATCCTGCCTCAGCAGGGATTACAGCATGCACCACCACACCTAGCTTCTCCTCTCCATGTTTAACTTTACCCTGGTATAAAGGGAAAAGTACCTGTTACAGGGTCTTCAGCCACACCAAACCATGGAGTAAAATATCTGGAGTAGAAGTCAAAGGCGCCAGTCTGCCCACCAGGCTCTCCTTTAAGGGTGAGAAGGAGTCCTTTCACCTTCCCTGTGTTTTCCACTTGAGTCAGATTCTCTGTGTTCACCTTCAGGGTCTCTAGAAATGACCTTGCTCACAAACAGGATGAATTAGGACTAACCCATTTCACAGCCCACCATCTACACAGAATGGGAAATGGGCCAGGGTAACTCAGCAGGGCGAGGGAAGAGCCCACAGTAGTCTTTCTGTAGGAAGGAACCCAGCCTCCCCGCGGTGCTGACACAGTAAAACAGTGTTTACCTGTCATAAGAGTCACTAAGCCTGACGAGGAGATTTTTCGTCTCTGGAGAGTAGTGGATGTCCTGGACCTGGGTGTCACCTATGGCCATCTGTAAAGGCAGACCCAAACCCCGAGAGCAAACCTGGAGTCAATTCCTCCATTCTCACAAATGGGGAGCAACCCCTCATTAAGCATCTGCTGTGACCCAGGCTCCCCCATCATCTGAAGTCTCCAAGAGTGTCAGTTCAGGTTAGTGGCTCAAAGGCGACCCGGCTACCAAGGGGCTTTTCAGGGCCACTTAGTTTACCCTCTACCAGCCTCCAAATGGGTGCTGCTTGGGCTGGAGGCATGGCTTAAGTGGTAAAGCACTTGCCTACAAGTGCAAGGCCCTGACTTCAAACCCCAGAATCACATAAAAATAAATAAACAGAAACAAAACAAATAACCTGGCACTGCTCACCAGTGTGCTTATAAGAGGTGCTTAAATTACTTTTGCTGAAAAGCACTGACTCCTTCCTCGGGCCCAGGATTCAACTGAGAATAGGGAAAAGCTTGGGACCTCTGTCTCCATGTTGTAATTGTGTTCTTTGCTCTGAGTCATTCTCTCCTGCAGCCACCTTAGAATGAGGAAGGTCAGGACTGACCAATCACATCTTCATGACAAGAAACGAAAACTACCCCTAAGGAATAGTGGGCCTTGCAGGACAGACCTCCTCACAGATAAGGACCACTGCCTATAATGACGAGGCTGCATGCTGGAGAGGGGAACCAGCTCGCCCCCCTCAAGTGATGACAGCGATAACAACTTCTCCAGAACCAAAGGACCAGAGTTGAGTTAATGTCCAACAAGGCCACATCTGTGACTGGGACTGTTTAAATGTGCATTCCTTAAGCCCCTGCCCTGATTCCTTGTCTATTTAAAGCTAAAGGTAATGTCTGCCCCAAGACAGCTGAAGATAGGCTGAGTGTTTACTTTGCTATCACTTCCATGGCCTATCACAGGTCATCCAATAAATTCCCTTTATTAGGGCTTCACCGTGTCTCCTTATTTGGTGAATAGGGGCTGGTAGCAGGATCTGGCTGGTGGAAGCCCAGAAGTTTGGGCCTCAGGTCCAAAACTCTGGTTTCACATTTTCCATGTGCCTCAACACAGCTGTTTCAAATGGGTATTTTCCACACAGAGGAGACTTAGAAGCCCTTGCATCCCTCTCTCTCTCTCTCTCTCTCTCTCTCTCTCTCCCTCTCTCTGTCTCTCACACACACACACACACACACACACATACACACACACACACCCCTCTATTCAGGTCTGAGTCACCCTGGGGTCAAAGCTGCATATCCAACTGTCAACTGTCTGTACAGGTAGGAACCTCGTGTCAACTCTTGGAGTTGTTGTGAGGAGTCAATGAAATAATGTATGTGGGGACTATGCAGCAGTGACTAGAACATTCCAGGACTCCGGGCTGTCAGTTTGGTTGGAACTGGAGGCTAGGGGACTCCTCTTTTATGCTATTTCCTTAGCAAGCACAGGACTTTCACTTAAACTGTGTCACAGATCAGAAACTGTGACATTTTCCCAAGATGCCTCAGTTCACTCTACATAACACTACACTTAATGTTACTCAATGCCAAGAAATGTTTGTTTGTTTGTTTGTTTGGAGATGGTTGAGCAGGAGGGAGACTTTGAGGGGCCGACTCCCTCCCCCACATCATCCTTTGGTATAAACCCCAGCCACCAGATAGAGCAGATAAGTATATTGTAGGTATGTGGGTGTCATTAGGTGGCTTTGGATTCTCTAAAGATGGAAATGCCCAGGGTCCCATGGCCCAGGCTCCCTCTGCCTTGTATGGCACATGGACTTTGTGGCTCTGTGGCCATGGGTTGACCTAGGTCTCTTCCCCAGGAAACAGAGATCCTGCAGCCAGATCCCATCTGCTCTCTGGGCCTTTCCATCTCCATAGCTGCCCTTCTCTGCACGGCTCCTGTGTTGATGTGGAAGGTTCTTCTCAGCTGGGAATCTTAATGCCAGTTTCTCGAGGGGACACAGGTGTTATTACGTAGTACATAACCCTTTATCATCCCATGTCACAGATACTGACCCTGAGGTTTAGAGAGACTAGGCTATGCTCTGTCTATCACGAACAAAGGCTCCATAATGAATACTGTCCATGTTCTTTCTGACATGCTCCAACAGTTCATTTATAAATTTGACTCTTCACCACAAGCTCAAGCGATCCGTGGAGCCAGGGGTAAAATCAGAATCCATGATGCTGGTTGTTCTCTGAAAACTTAGACAAGGTGGCACACTAAAGAGATTCCAAGTGCTACCTTTGAACATTGGTGAGGAACAACCCAGGTAGTGCCAATGACAGGCCATTTTCTCATGACAGCCCCTTTGCCCTGGTCCAGACTGGACCAGCCCTTCTCTGTATCTGGGGCTTCTCTCATCCTCCAAACCTCATGGGACACTTATAGTGACTACCTTACTGGGTGACATCAAGAATAAAATGATATAATGCAAGTGAGACACCTAGCACATAGTACCACAAAGAAGGGACTCCAAATGTTCCCTACTATTACTATGACCCCACCCCACACAGGCCACATGAGGGGGCCACTCTGGATACCTTGTCTTCTCCAGAAGGTACTCACACTTTGCTGGTCTCCTCTATCAAAACACAGCCCTACTGCCTCAGTTCCCTCCTCTACCACAGAATCTGGAGACACTGACAGCTTCCAGGCAGCATCCATTCTTTCAAAAACCCCCAACTGTCACAACTGAACTTCCACATCTGTGCCCCAGGCACTTTCTCTCCTTCTGGCTGTAATGGAGAGAAATTCTGCATAATATCATTGCGCAAAGCCATCCTGAAGATGCCCTACTCTGTCTTCCTCAGCGCCTCCTTCAGGTCTTTCTCTCTCACTCTTCCTCACAACCATATCTCCTTCCCCACCCCATGATGGAGGCTGATGCTCACCATTAAGAGGCACGAAGCCTGGCTCAAGTGGTAGCCTAGCAAGTGTGTAACCCTGAGTTCAAACCCTAGTGCCACCAAAAAAGAAAAGTGAGTGAATAATCTTCTCACCAAATAGACTGACTATTAAAATTTAGACCTGAAATCACCATGCACTATTAATCCAGGCTTCCACTGGCACCTCTATACTGGCAGGAGGTCTACCCTTTAAGACCAAATGTTTGCATTCAGGCAATAACAAAGGCCCAGACCACATAGGTTCAGATTTCACTCTTTTTACCAACCTTTATCAAGTTCTTTACTTCACCGAAGTCCTAGAAGGGAAACAGACAAATAATTAGAAAGCAGGTGAGCTGTTGGCTGCACAGAATTTATGGCAATGCTGAGATAGGCTGACCTGAGCATGGGTTGGGTAGAGAGGGACATCCAGGACAATGCCATCCCCTGCTCTTCTGGCCTTTAGCTCCCCACTCAGAGTGACAAAGGTGAGAGTGCTATGTGGGTTTTCTGATGAAAAAGGAAAAAAAGTCAAGAATTATGAACGTGAACTTCATTGAATGTTTGCATATCTGTTTGAATTACCTCAGGTTTTCTTGGACTTTCTGGTAGTACCCTCCTTTCCTGTGATAGAGATCTGAAGTAGGGCAAACCCTCACTGGATTCTAACTTGAAAAGCAAGACCAAAATTAATTGAACCTGGCATCACACTGCAAGTCTTCATGTCTCACTCCTAACTGCTTGGGAACTGTACCCCTGAGCAAATTACATAATGCCTTCAGCCTCAGTTTCCTCGTCTATACCAGGAGTTGATAATGAAGCCTGCTTCATAGGGTTGGTATAATGTTTACTGGTACAGATTTAAAATATCCAGAAATAATAACCACAGAGTCATAAACCCTATTAGTCTAAGATATGCCACGGAGTTGACAAAACATGTATGTTGTGAACAACAGCTATGGCTCCTGGCTGAGGCCTCTTGGGAACTGTTCTTCCCTGAGTAGGTCTACCTCGCCCCGGGCCCTGGGGTACATCTATGGAGGGCCTAAAGGCCAGAACCTGTGCCTCTGTGTGGAAGTCCACTGCGTCCCAGCTTCAGGGCTCCCCATGGGCTTGCCCGGAACACTGCTTGTTGCTACTACTTTGCAGTTCAACTCCTTCCTCTGTGGAGCTCAGTTCTCTTCATTCCTCTGCCAATCCTGAGCTCCAGAATATTTCCCTCAGTTTCTCTTGTGTGCCATAAATGCGTCTCTGAGTTTGCTTTTGGGGGCGTTTGCCCTGGAACACCTTTTAACACCTCCTCTAAAATAACTCCCCCAAGGACCCTGCCTTCCCAACCCCCATACCTGTTTGTTTCCTTGTTTACACCTGCCCGTTGTCTCCCCATTCTGGGCATTTCCAGACATCTCTTCTCTGTCCTATTCCCAAAAAGTCCCAATCAGTAGTACCTTAAACGAAATGCATCTAAAATGTCCACTGGCAAATGAGGACGCAGCAGTCCTTCTTAAGGTAAATGTACAGAGTCAGTGCTTGGGGTTTATTGAAATTCAGAGCAAGAGGCTCTCATTGTAGAATGAATCCCAATATTGCATCATGGGACATGCCTATTGTACTGGTGCAAATTCCCCCACCATGTTGGTCACAAAACTCAGAGAAACCTTATTTAAAGTAAAATGGAATTAGGGAACAACCCACAGCTCAGTGTATACTCAGAAAGGCCAGTGTGACCGGCTGCCACTCCTGCTTCCACACCATGCCACGTATGAGACCACTCAGCAGAGTCTATACTGCTAGCTTTGGTCCATCAGAAAGAGTGCGTGAGATTTTTTTCTTATATATGCTACCGCCAAGTGATACTTTCATTAAAGAAATTCCCATTACTTATTTTGTGAAACAGCACAGCTGCAGAAGCCAGGGTGGCGTGGCCACACAGTGGGACCTCACTTGTTGGTGTAAACCACCTGAGTCCAAAGCAGGAACCTTCCAAGGAGGAAAAGACAAAGATAAGGAGAGACAAGGTCATTCCCACGCAAGCAGATTGCAAGTTTCTCAGTAGATTTTTCTTTTATTTATTTATTTAGTGTGTGTGTTACTGGGGCTTGAATTCAAGCCTTCACTTTGAGCCACTTGGCCAGCCTTTTTGTGGTTGGTACTTTTGAGATATGGTCTCTGGAACTATTTGCCTGGGGCTGGCTTCAAACTATGATCCTCCTGATCTCTGCCTCTTGAGTAGCTAGGATTACAGGCGTGGGCCACTGGTGCCTGGCTAGTCACTTCTTCTTTCTACATGTTTCATTGGCATGATGCATAGCAAAGCCTGTAGTGGAAGGTGGAGGAGTGCAGGCTTGGTAGCCTTCCGGGGCTCCCTGCACTAGGCTGGAGCCGAGATGTTCAGTTTCAGCAAACTACTATTGTGTTGCTCTACAGAATACTATCTGTTGGCTATTTATTTTAAATTTTTTATAGTTCTGGAGGCTGAGAAGCTCCCGGTGGAGGGGCTCACATTTGGCGAGGGCTTTTTGCTGTATCAGTCCATGGAGTGCACAAGCCAATTGCTTCTATAAGAAGCTCACGCTTAGCTGGGCACTGGTGGCTCCCACTGTAATCCTAACTATTCAGGAGGCAAAGATCAGGAGGAATGAGGCTCAAAGCCAGCCCTGGCAAAAATTTTAAGAGACTCTATCCAGAAAACACCACACAAAAAAACAGGGCTGGCAGAGTGGCTCAAGTAGTAGGGCACCTGCCTAGCAAGTGTGAGTTCAAACCTCAGGACCATCAAAAAACAAAAAGCCTACTCTTTGATAGGGGTGTGGCTCAGTGGTAGAGCCTGAGGTCAATCTCCAGCACACAAAACAAAACAAAAATACCAAATTTGTGCTGGACATGATGGCAAACATCTACAATCCCAGCACAAGTGAGGCTGAGGCAGGAATATGGAGAGTTTGAGGCCAGCCCTCTGCATAGCAAGACCCTATCTCAAAAAAAGCCTCCAAGCCCTGGAACAAAAAGGAGCTCACTCTTGGGATAATGGACCCACCCCCACAGTAATGGCATCAATCCACGACTTCTCATCAGGCCCCAACGCTGGTGCATTGGGGATTAAGTTTCTAATATGTGAACTTTTTCGGGGAAGGGCACACATTTAAATTATAAACTTAAACACTAAAAACTTCAGCATAACTTAAACACACGCTCCCTCTCAAGGACTGAAAACCAAATCAGAACATGCCACACTCTACTAACTTTACACTAATAAATGAGCATTTCCCTTAAATGTCATTTCCCCACCTAAAAGTAATTCCTGGTGCCATTGGAGAACGGTTTAAAATGTATATTTACTGTGTGAGAAGGTGTCTGTCGGATGCAGCTTTCTGATAAAAGCAGTTTCAGAGAGGTTCATCTCTCGAGCAATATTTTGATGTATGTCATCATGCAACTCCTAAATTAAAAACATAAAGGTTATGAAACCTCCAGAAACACAAATCAGACTTTTTTGGACAGCAACTACCACCAGTTAATCTACCAGTTTATTAAAATTAAATTCTATATGCTAAAAAGGAAATTCAAGTTACATGTCAAGGAATTAGACACACTTTTGTAGATTTTTTTTTTCAGAAACCCATGCTTGCAAGGTCCTATGAAGAAATGTGCAAAGCTAGAATAGACTAAAAGTCTGTTGGAGATAAATTTCAATGGTGGTCCATTTTCAAGGCAATACAGTTAACCCTGAATGGAAAAATTACTGATAACTAACTTACATAGCCACTTGGAGACAGGACGAAGCTCATGCACCAGAAAAGTCACAAACAAGGTATTGGGGCAGGAGAGGGGACACAATAAGGAAATGGGTAAAAACTACGTACATGCCAAAAGCATGTATCACAGGGAGGCCTTCTTGTCACAAAGAGACAAAGGGATGTGGAGAATTAATCCTGCTTCTAAAATTTGACCAATCCCAAGACAGGCATATTTTAAAATAACCCAACAGGAAATTTAGAGAAAGTATAGGAAAGAATGTGCACTCCATAGTACTCAGCCAGTGAGGAACCAGGGGAAGGACCCACTGTGCCCTATAAAACATAATGCTTGCGGTAACTGCTTTTGGTGTGTGTGCCTGCTCACCAGGCACCCCATCTTGCAAGACCATCATTAAAGTTTAGCTTTCACTGTACTTCACATGTCTCTGAGTCCATTCTTTGAGTTTGGACAGGTGAGCATATTTCTCACAAAACCCAAAAGACCTGGCCTGTCTTCTGGCAGATTAATATCTAGTCTGAGATCATGGGCTTTCTTTGAAAAACAATCTCCAAGAAAAGGAAATGCCCCTGTCTCCCATGCTCTGATGGATAAACAAATGTTCAGCACTCACCGTGGGCAGACTGAACTACTCTTCCTCCATCTTTGCCTGGTTTACTCCCTCTTGTTTGTGAGGGCCTCAGCTGGAGATCACTTCTTCCTGAAAGCCTTCCCAGTGCTATTTTTTGGATAACCTGTGGTTTTGCTCAGGGCCAGTCTTGGCCAGACTTTCTCTTATCTATGCTTCCCTTGAAGCTGGGATAACAGACATACACCACTGTGCCCAGCTTGTTGAATAGATGGGTTCTTGCTTACCCCTCCATACACACTCTCATCCCTCCCCCAACCTCAAATCCTGATCCTTCCAATCTGTGCTAGTAACTGGAATTCCCTAGTAACTGGAATTGCAGGCAAGAGCCAACACACCTAGATGAGATTGTAGATTTGACAATAAACACCACACGGCTTGAGGTCTTGCCATGGACCTAAAGAAGTGGGCAGATTTTGGTGAGTTGCACGGGAAAAGGTGGCCATGTCTTGAGTAAGTCACCATCTCACTTCTGGTCTCCTCTCAAATCAGGGATTGACGTATATCACCTTGACATTCTGGAACTGGTAGACAAGGGCAGGAAAAGTAGCATGGTTGGAATGAAGTTGAATGAATGCCTGTCCCACTTATGGGCACTGTGGGCTTGGGCAAGTGTGACATCCCACTTCAGTGAAAGAGTGCAGGGCACTGCTGGAGAGTCCAGGCTACCAAAGGAAGGAAGCTAAGAATTTCACTCAAGTACTTTCCATGGTCTGTAGAATGTTCTCCGTAGAAATTGTCCACCTACCATGCATGCAACACCTGATGAAAATGGAACCATTCGGTCTGTACTAAGACACAAAGTCTATAATCCCAGGCCTCAGTGATGACTGGACAGAGATAAAGAGAACCTCTTCTGCCTTCTGGATGAGCCAGCACAGCCTGCAATGCTGCCCATCTTCCTTTACCTGATCTGGCCAAAGTTCCTCTCTTGTTCTTCCTTTCTGTCTATTGTTTCCTGTGACCTTTAGGACAACAGTCTGTAAAAGCATCAGAGCATCCCACCTTGTAGCCAAACACACCAACTATTGGTAACAGATTTCTTTGCAAATGGGCTTTTTACATGACACACACTTCACTGTTCATCAGCCCTTTCACAAATTGCAGTTGGTACACTGCACCAACTGCATTTGAATTTTCTGTCCCAGGACCCCTTAAAGTGTACCTACTTAAAAAAAGTAAATCATAAGACCCCATCTCCAAAATAACCAGAGCAAAATGGGCTGCAGGTGTGGCTCAGGTCAGAGCACCTGCTTTGCAAGTGCAAAGACTTGAGTTCAAATCCCCGCTCCAAAAAAAAAAAAAGTAAAGTGAAGCTGATACTTGTCTTTGAGACCAGAGACAATGGAGGAAGAAGGATAGTAGCATCCTCAGAATGCACTTGCCACAAGGAGCTAAACTTCCACTCATCTCCACTGAAGCCAAATGTCAAGGCAATAATGAATCACAAAAAGGCTTCAAAAAAAAAAAAAGAAAGAAAGAAAAAATATACAAAAAAAATAACCACAACAAAAAGTAAAGGCTTCAACTTTGAGAGCCCTAGAAACAAGTGAAAGAGAATGCATTCATTCAGAGCACTGGACTTGGGAGTGGGGATGTAGCTCGGTGGTAGAGCAAATACATAGTATGCAAAAGGCCCTGGGTTCAATTCCCAGAACTGCCAGGAAAACAAAAACAAAAACAAAAAACTAACATCTATTAATCCTCTAGCTTTAAAGCTTTCTCAAACAAACACAATTTTCAACAGCAAAAGCAGAGTGATGTTTGTTTTTCTGAGTCCCAGTGTCTTACTGCACTGGGACACTGAGGTTCATCACCTTATGACCCACAGACTACTGACCAGAAAATCAGAATAAATTTTAAAACCCTCCCATCTTGTGGCAGTTTTGAAATATGGCAACTTAAGTATGACAGCCCTGCACTCTCAGTCTGTCCCTCTGCTGTACTAGATTCCAGCAAAGGAAAAACACCCGGATGTGGAGAGTTCTAAAACCACCCGGGGAGAATTTGAGAGCTGCTCTGAGCACCTGGATTTGCTATAAAGCAGTTGTGTCCACACAGTGCAATGTTCAGGCCATGGCCACCTTCAGTTGTCCCTAACTGTTCCAAAGGAGGCCCTCCCTGTCTCCTCAGCTCCATAGAACCCCAAGCTCCTAGTCAATTGTTTTTCTTTATTTCTTTGTTGGTGAAGTTGGGGTCAACCAGTGCCTCAACCATGCATGACAAGCATCGGCCATTGAGGCCTACACTCAGTCTTCACACTTCTTACATCAATCCACTCTACACGAGCCAGTGAGAACATGAAGTCAGTAGCTGCTGGTTAACCATGAAGCTCAGAAGGAGGTTTTGCCAAAATTTATTGATTATAATATTTTCACATTCACTCTTCAGACACTACTTAGCGCCACCCATGTGCTAGGCAGGAAGTGTTGGAGCATTCCCCAGCTACAATCTCAGAGAAGTATATGTGGTACTGAGGATTGAATCCAGAGCCTCACACTTGCCAGGCAAGTGCTCTACCAATCTGAGATATGCCCCCAGCCCAAAAGACATTTTGTTTGTAAGACAAGCCTATTTTTTTAAAACATTACATATGAAGTCAGGTGCCAGTGGCTCGCATCTGCAATCCTAGTGACTCAGGAAGATCACGACTTGAAACCAACCACAGCAAATAGCTCTCAAGACTGAATCTCGAAAAACCCATCACAAAAAAGGGCTCGTGGAGTGGTCCAAGTGGTACAGCACCTGCTTAGTAATTGTTAGGCCCTGAGTTCAAACTCCAGTACTACAAAGAAAAAAAAGAGAAAAAGAGAGACATGATAAGAAATAAAAAATGACCTTTCAAATGTTATAGGAGCCCTTAGAACCTTACCTCTTTACCACTCATAATTGTTTACTTCCTTTTTAGCAGTCTGTTTTTGTTTGTTTGGGAGGTGTGGTTGGTGGGACTGGGGTATGGATTCAGGGCTTCATGCTTGCAAAGCAAGCACTCTACCACTTGAGCCACTCTACCAGACCTTTTTTTGTGTTGGGTATTTTCAAGATAAGTGTCTTGAACTATTTCCCCGAGCTAGTGTTGAACCTCAATCCTCCTGATCTCTGCCTCCTGAATAGCTAGGATTACGGGCGTGAGTCACCTGTGCCTGGCTCCATCAGGCTTTTAAGAAGTATTCAAGAAGCTCAAAGTACAATTAGTCTACTCTTTAATCTACATACAAAGTAGTTCTGTGGTTAGTCTCATCTCAGTCAAATATTTTCTAATTAACTTTATTTTTAACTGATAAATGAAACATAAAAATTACACATATTAGGAGGTGTCATGTGACAATTCAATTAGGTCAATTCCTAAATAAATTAAACAAAGCACAGCAAAATACAACAGAAATTCCACTGGAGCTCTGCAGGCAAATTCTCATAAAACCCAGCACTGTTCATCCTCTGAGTCCCTCTGTCCCTGTATCTCTAGGTCTTTCTAGTCTCTGGGATGACTACTAAGTTCCCCACTGGACTGGGTGCATCTTTAGGGCTGGTCAACTTGTGAACCTTGTAGCCCAGGGCCTGGCTTATGGTAGGCCTTGATAAGTCTTTGTAGAATGCATTAATGACAAGCTAGTGTCACTCCCTGGTGAATGACAACAGTGTTATGAGGGTTAGCCCTCAAGTGTCTGTGATATTTTCCTGTGCTCACTGGTGTTCTCTTGGTTTTTACCATCTGCAGACATGCGTAAAAGAGTCCAAGGGCAGAAGTCACAGTTTATGTTTCTATTGCAAATTGTATTAATTATGGATTGGGAAAAGTGCCACATTAGCTTCCAGGACGATGATACTCTAACATCCAAAGTGCAGAAAAACATGAGTAAGAGGCTTGGCAAGAGAATCTATCTCTTTTTTCTTTTTTGTACTGGGGAATGAACTGGGGACTTTGAGCTTACTAGGCAGGCACTCTACCAGCAAAACAATCCAGGCTGGTCCAAAGATAGTACATTATCTCAACTGGTGTTCACAGTCAGCTACAGATTGAACTCCTTGTTCTACACTTTCCCATTCTCACTACT